CATGTTATTAGCTTAATTTCAGAAGGGGTAATTGGCGCAAAACGTCCCTACCTATGGCGGGTTGTGTGGAAAACGTCCCTACATTTGATTTTTTGGTGCAGAACGTCCCTACGTTTGCATTTTCTTGCGCAAAACATCCTTTTCACCCATTTTTAATATAAAATGACCATTATACCCTCTTATATAAATAAGAAAAGAAAAGAAAAATAAAAAATAAAGAGATAATTGCAGCAAAGGTCCCAAACCTTTCAATTTTTCTCATTTTAAATAGGTTAAACTATTTATTAGAAAACCAAAAAATAAAAATCAAATTTATAAAACTTCTTCCTCCCAACCCACTCCGACCGTCAGCACCGCCCCAAAGCCGGCCAACACCACCGTCGGCACGTCGTCGGCACCACCCCTATCTCCTTCCCCAACCCCACTCTCTCCATCCCCAAAATGCTACCACCACAATCAAACCAAAACCTAAACCCAAATCCACAATCAAACCAAAACAAACCCCCTTTTTGAAGCTTTTCCATGAACCTGTTTTGCTGCTCCAAAAGGTGACAAAGTCTTGATTTTTCCAACTCTAGATCTGATGCCACTTGCCTGAAGCACTTGGGTTCAGTTTTTTGCTGTTCAAAATAGATCAATTTGTTACGCTCCTTGTTCAACTAGACGCAAGATCTCGGATTTTTCCCTGTGGTGGTGCCGGCAGCGTGCCTGTGGTGGTGCTGGCTGCCGGGAAGGAGAGTGTCCTGGTAATTTATTGAAGTGAAAATAGACGGCATTTAGTTTTTTGTTTTTGGATGATTTGATTGTTTGAGTTTTTAACTGTTGATTTCTGGGAGAAGGAGTGGGGGACAATGAACAGTAGTGACGTTAAAGAAGTAACGGCAGCTCCGACTGGTCCACCGCAGCCGCTCGAGTAAAAATTCTCTCAGGTGTTTGGCGAGCGGACGGCCGGTGAAGAAGTACAAGAAGGTGAGAAATGGCTATGTAAATGAATACATGAATGGATAAAATTGTGTGCTTTGTGTTTGGATCTTGGAGTTGAGGTTTGTGTTTTGTTATTTTGATCTGATTTTGAATTGTTAAGTGGTAGAACTCAACTCGATTTTAGTAGAGATTAATGAAATTTAATTGGATTTATGATAAGGATTTCAGAGAGTGATTGCAGGGAAGGCGATAGGGGTGGTGCCGGCAACGTGTCTGCGGTGGTGGTGGCCGGCTTTGGGGCGGCGTTCCTGACTTTATTTTTTGGTTTTTAATAAATAGTTTAACCTATTTAAAATGAGAAAAATTGAAAGTACCATTTTACCCTTCCTAATTTTGTTAAAATTGAATTAATTTTGACTTTTTGGGTTGACTA